CTAAGAAGAAGCAAAATTGCAATTAATCCAAAGGACAATGGAAACATGAACGGGAGGTGTAAGTACACTGCAGATTATCAACAATGACTTATGAGTTAAATGGTGAGAAAAGATGTAATGAATAGCATGTATGACTCAAAAAGAAAGGAGATTAGTTATGTATTGAGAGAGAAGCATAACAGATAGCACCAGTACTTCACTACTATCCTTTAAACAGTAAAAGAATCAGAAGAAATTCTCTTACATGCTAAGTAGAAACTTTATGGCGGATTGACAAAAAGACATGGAAAAGAACTGAACAGGATGAGACGGCATGGAGAGGCTATGATTTACACAGATGGGTGAAATACCCAAACAGATGAGAAGACAATTAGGCTGTGTTGGTATAGATAGAAAGACAGTCCAGAACACTAAATTTGTTGCACATATTTTATTTTTAAAAATGAAAATACATGTATAATAAAATAAAATAAATTTTAAGACATTCAGTTTGTCAATAATCTTCAGATTTGCATTATCCTGAAAAAGAAAAAGAATCCTCATTAGGATACACATTGCCTTGTATGATAAAGAAAAACATGTGAAATTTAATTCCTACCCACCCATATCTAAATTAAGACTAGTTAATAGAAGAGAATATTAATGTTACCTTGCACAAAAATATTCCTGTCATATATACATATATATGTACATATATATACACATATATATACACATATGGATTCAGTTAGTTACTGTTGTTTAAGGCAGACTTGTACAATTCCATTATTAATGTATCTCCAACAGCCAATTCTGTGGCAACAGATACCTTTAATAAAAGACAAAACATGTGGAAATTATTTCATTTTATATTTATAGCATGTGAAAAAATGACGTAAAAAATTCACTGCTCTATTAGATGCAACTAGTACATACCTTTTTATTCAAATAATAAAGAATCCCAAATGGATCACTATGGATTCCATTTTTAAACCTGCAAATTTGGAAAAAAATTTGAGGGTAGGGAATTGTGGGGAAGCAAAGCATAAAAGAGACTACGTGAGAAAGAAAAAAAGATATTGTATATAAAATATTAAGCATATGCACGGCAGTGGAAAAATCACTGGACTGGACTGAGTTCAGGAGACCTGGATGCCATTTTCTGAAGTGATTTTAAGTGTGTTGCCCACTTTCTTTTTTTGTAAAATGAAAGGATTGGTTTAGATGCCCTTCTTCTGCATTTATTATATGAATTAACATAGTTGTAGGATATCTTAAAATGACAAATAATATACTAAAATTCACATGCTAAAATGTTTTGCTTCATAAAAAATAATGTGTTAACTATCAAATGCGTGAGTCAGGACTGTGCTAATGATCAATCTTCTATATTTAAAAAAATACAAATTTCTCTCAATAAGTCATCCTAAAGAGGAAATTAATCATAAACCAAACAATTTTTCCAACCTGTTTTATAAGATATGGTATGATGAAATTATAAAATTTCAGACTTAAAATCATCTACTATCAATTCTCATTCAGGATAAGAATTTTTTTTCAGAGCATCCCACACAAATGGTCATTCAGTCTCTGTTTTCCAGGGTGAGAGAGAATGAAGGAGGATAAGAGGGAGGGAAAGGAAAAATGAAAAGGCAGGAAAGAAAACAGGAAGGAAGGCAGGAATGGAAGAAGGCACAAGGAAGGAATGAAGGATGGTAGGAAGGCATAAAGGAAGGAAGTAGAGGAAACTGAGGAAGAAAGGTAACGAAGAAAAGGAAGATGAGAAAAGAAGGCAGGAAGGAAATAAAGGTAGGGAGTCAGCTAAAATGGGAGAGAAGAGATGAGGAGAGAAGAAGAGAAGAAGGATTTATTTAAACACTTACTATGAGCCAGACAGCAGCAAGCATACATACAACAACCTTGGGAGTTAGGTGATATTATTCCTATTTTATATTTGATGAAAACTGAGAAAAATAAAAATTAAGTGACTTGCTCGGGGTCATAGAGTTACTAAGAGTCCCAAGCGAGATTTGAATTCAGGTCTTCCTAAGTCTAGGTCCAGCAAACTCTCCACTGTACCTCTATGTATGGAAGCAACCTACCTATTCAATCTGTAGGACAGTTCTAGTTATCAGAAAGTTCCTTTTGGTGAGCCAAAATCCTGTAACTTCTATCCATTAATTCTAGCCATTTGGAAATATTAAGATAGTGATAATACCTTATATGTTGCCTTCTAGTTTTCAGAGTGTTTTTTCACCTTAATAGAAAAATAAAAAGGCTCAGAATAGTCAAGAGACTCACTCAGGTTCAAATGAGGAGTAAGGACAACTTCCAGATTAATCTTCTCTACCACACTGTCCCTTAATAATACCTTCTGTATTAAGAGAGAGAATGTTTGTTCCATCTTCCTCATTAATAGCTATTCAAATATTTGAAGACAACTCTCCCATCTTCCCTCAGTCTTCCTTCCACCAATACTAGATACATACAGTTCCTTCAGCCGTTTCTCAAATGACAAAGTTTCTAAGTCCCTAACCATTCTGGTGGCCTTCTTTCTAGATGAAATGTAGGTTGTTAAAGTATCTCTTAAACTGCTGTATCCAGAAAGAACAGAATATTCTAGATATTGACTGAGCAATAAGATTTTAATGGTGTTATCTTCCTGTGACATAGACATTACTTTTCTATCAATACAGCTTAAGATTACATTAGGTTTAGCAGCTGTATCAAATTTGTTAACTTTGCAAATAACCAGAATTCTTGCACATTCATCATATGTAGTTGCTACGAAGCTAGGTTTCCTTTTGGTTTGTGACATTTCTTGAAAATAAGTATAAAACTCCATTCCCGTTAAATGTCATCTGGTTGGTTTTGACACAGTGATACAATTTCAGATCTTGATTTTCTTATCTCCTCTCTCTCCCACTTTACATCATTCACATATTTAACTGACATTCATTCAAGGGCTTCAAGTCTGAGAAGGCTGGACCAGATGGCCACTGAAGCTCCTGTTAGATCTGGTGCTACACTGCCATCCTATAACCAATAAAAATGCTTCTTCAAACTGCCTTTTCCCCAGATGGAAGAAAAGAGTTTTGGGAAAATGAAAATACACAGCAAATCCCCAAGAAATCTCTTCCTGGCCATTCATGTGGGATTTCTGCTTCGCTACTATTTTGCTACTATCTACCAAAGAGAAGTGGTGACATTCTTGGAAGCTATGGTGCAAAAGGGCATTTGAAAAGACTCTTTGCTAATCATGGTGGTACAGATGACATCAAACCAATAAAAGAGACAGAGTGGTAAAACAGGGCAAGGATACTAATGGGAAATAATAAAGGAAAAGCTTTATCAAATCAAGGATTTGGAACTCCAGAGTATAGGATGTGGCAGAAGGGAAGTCTATCTTAGGAAACAGTTGGGATCCAAAACGAGAAGCCATAACATGTTTTGCGCTGGTTTTCTAATAAAAGCATTAACAGCAGCATTGGGAAAAAAAATCCTGTCCTGAAAGAAATTGTTTTAGGAAAACTGAGAACATTCATCCATTTGATATTTCTGATGATTTCGGGGACTATATTTTATCCTCACGTACTGCAAAGTAGACATCATTCGTTGGCAAAATCAAGTGTTGTGTTCCATGGAAAACTATTGAATACTATATGAACTTTGTACTTGATCTCTAAATTAACAAGCTTTCAAACTGATAAGAACTCATTTGCTGGATAAAAAGTTTGAAACCATTTTTATCTCACAACATTCTCTTAAATAATATCCATATTGAAATAGCATATCTATATATTATCTTTCATTAAAAGTTACACTGCCAAAATAATCTAATTCCCAAAAGTGTATTTCCTAACCTACATATGAAAATCTTGAGTAAGTTTCAGTAAATGGTTATTATTCTGGAAGATCACTATATATAATGCAAAACAGAACTAAGAAAAAAAAGTTGTACTATAGATTGTCTGTATGTAATTTTAATAGTTTAATAATTATTGATTCACTAACAAACCACCAATGTCAAAGAGATTAAAATGCTTTTTTTGCAATATTATTAAAGAAAAGCTCCTTTCCCAGAAGAAACCACACACTTTTCCCCTTTTGCATCCCAATAGTATTCATCCACAAGACCATAACAGGGTTCAATTTATAACTGCATGCAACATGAATCTACTTTCATAGGACATGTGAAAATTCTACCCAGGCATTTTAAAGGCTTATACTTGATAAAAATCTGAGATATTTTGTTGTTCAGAAATTAGTCCAGAAACTCTTGGGGAAAAAAAACAAAACAGTGAACAATACAAATGGTAAAGAGAAAAATAGATAATATTTATTTATTCTCCAGAACTGTGATTTTCAAAATTATGAACTATAAAAAGAAAATTGTGACAAATATCTATATGCCTCTAAATCATCTCTGAAAATATTTTCACCATGAGATTATCAATTGAGTATAACACCCTTATGTTTTACAGTTTAAGATTCATGGAATAATTTTATTTAAAAATACAAAAGAAAATTTAGGTGGATAAAATAATTATTTCTATTGTCCATTTTCACTATGGAACTTCTATAAAATTTTCTTTGAATCAAAAGGATCTAGAGACAAAATGCTGAAAATCACTGCTCTTAAAAAATAAATTAAAAAACTTTAAAAATGTAGGAGAAATAACTGAAAGTAAACAAATGGATATAAGAACAGCTCAAAAAAGTGTTAAAAACATGCTGCTTACTAAATAAACTGAACCCTGCTATATTTTTAAATATTACCCAAGACAAATTCACACTGAATTAAAGAAAAGGCTGCATTCCACATGTAATTGATTTTTTTTTTATAATTATAGGCCCAATGAGTTTAGAAGAAGAAGCTTAAAAGATTATCACAAAGAATAATAAATTAATACACAAAGAATGCAATGAAATGCCATATGATAATTTTTAAAAGTTGGGTTAGCATTGTGTACAGCAAGGCACTGGATTAGGAACAAAAAAGAGAATTTTCTATTTCCTACCGATATCATTGGCTACCATCTTGGAAAATTTTCTGCTTTTGGTCTTCACTGGAAATAATATTTTGAAATAAAATGTCAAAATCTATTCAAAGAAAATTAAATGAAGTATAAATAAAATAAATGAAATGCTTTAAATAACATACTATACCCTTTTCTATAAAATTAGTCACTTTTTGTTCATCATCAGAATTGTCTGGAGACGTAGAACCTACATAAATGAAGACAATGAAATGAACATGCAGAATGGTCATCATTCACAAATACTGAAGCTTTGCTGAAGGCAGAATTATAATAAAAGAAGAAAAACAAACACAATGAAAATAATCTCTAAAATATAATTGTATCATTTACAGAAAGGAGAACTTTTATTTAGTTACAACTGTAATAGCTCATAGAATTAAAGGATAGTAACAGCAATCAGAACTGAATCTTGAGCCAAGATTCAATTCAATCCAAGTATTTAATAGGCTTTTAATGTACAAGGCACTGTGCTAGTCATTGGGTATGCAGGGAAAAAATCATAGTCCCTGCTCTGAAAGAGCTTATAGTCTACTGGGTGGAGAAAACATGTATGCAGATAATTAAATTAAATATATAATATTAAAAATAATTAGTAGCTGCAGCAGGGGTGGGGGTTGGGGGAAGACAAAAACAAGTGGAGTGGAGAAGGGTTAGGAAAGGCTTCAGGATATTGAACCTTGAAGGTAGTTAAAGATTCCAAGAAGTAGAGGTGGAAAAGAGTATACAGGCATGTAAGAAAGCCTGTGCAAATGAAAAGAAGCAGGAGATGTAAAGCCTTGTGCCTTAAGAATACCAATTTGGCAAATTCATGGATGATAGAGAGAAGAAAGACTTGAGTCAGTCTTAGATGGCTACCACAGTAATTTCAACTGGTCACTCAATCAGTCAACAAGCATTTAGAGATGAAGTCCTGTACTAGTGTGGTAGGTCTATGATCAGACAGAAAAGGATAGATTCAAGAGCTGTTTAAGAGGCAGGATCAATAAGACTTGGTAATTGATTGGATATGGGGACTGAGGGGAGAGTGAGTAGTTGGAATGGCTCAGAGGTTGTAAGACTGGTTGACAAATAAGAATGGTGGTGCCATATAGTACAGAAATCTCCATTTAGAGTTATGTATTAAAATATAATTGATATTCCTTTCTCCTCTTAAGAAAATATTTTTTCTTAAATGGGATGAAATATAGAAAACTCAATGAAGCAAAAATAATTATTTGCTCTAAACTATATTTCCAACTTATAGTTATCACCAAATTTTTCAGGATTAATTTTAACATAGTAAATGCCTGATGTTATGCTACATGAAGTGATGCTCTTAAAGCCTATTATTGCCAATAACCATTAGATAAAATTGTCTAGGCATTTGTGCTTTTCTAATCTTCCATTTGTCACTTTCCTATTTTTGATTTTCTTTTCCCCACCTTCACCAAGGTTTCTGTTTTATATAAAAAGTACTATTACTATAAGCATCACTCCAAGCCAGATTCCACTCACCAGAATTCAAAGGTTTCTCTATTACACACTCACATGCAACAAACAAATGTACATTATAACTGCAAACACAAGAAAAGATTTCACTTCTTTTTCATTCAGGTAAAAGTATTTGCAACTAAATTTGTAAAATTAAGTTTATTAATTCAAGGAAAATTATGATTATTTATGATTATAGTTCATATAAAAATATTGTCTGGGTGGCACATGTTCCCTGACTTTTCTACTATTTTTCTTCTTTATAAACTATCTTACCCAGTATGTATTATTAAATATAATCATCTTTATGGTGGGAAAATGTCAGCCCCCCTCTCCTTTAAAATAGGGCTTTAACTTTGGATCACAGTGGTCATGAGATTATTATATAAAAAACACACTTAAAAATTTCATTTTTAAAAAAACAAGGACAAAAATCAACATCCTGGAAGATTTGTATTTCACATTGGCTAGGTTTTAAAATGTTATCAACGACAAAAACAAAATTCTACAACATAATCTTTTAAGGAAAGAGAATTACTGCTATATGTGAGTACATACAGACATAAACATATATATGTAGATGCATGAACCTAAAGTTAGATTTTTTTCCCCCTAAAAATGTCCATATTGAGTCATGGTCCTAAGCTATTTGAGATAAAAAATTGTTAATATGTTCTAATACAGTAATTATATCTGAAACATTAGTTGAATTATTATTGTTTAATAAAAATGGGAAATATCTTCAATGCATGGAGTTCAAACTGTTCAAAGTAAAAATTAAAAAATAATGCATTCATCACATTTCATTATATATGTAAGAACTTATTAAAGTTCTAGAGAAATATAAATATGATCAATATTCCCAGAAATAATTACATATGCATGGTGGTGAATAAAGTAGATACAAAGGTGGGGAGTATTTAATTTTTCAGAAATAATAGCATACAGTATCAAAACATAAAGCATATTTGGATTTTTCTGTATGATAGTGGAAGAAAATAATATTAATTACTAGAATAATTAAGATTTTTTAAAAATTTGAATTTAAAGTAAGTTAAAAAGAGTTAAATTTCACTTTCATCCCTCATATGTTATATCACAATGACACATAAATCGCGATTTAAATTATGGGTAATTCTAACTTCTCAAATTTAATTTTATAATTTCCAGTAGCTCTCTCTTCTACTTCATTCTTTTAATTACTTGAATGTAATTTGCATTAATTTAATAGTTTACATTATTTTTTCCAAACTGGAATGGTTTATGGCCCAGTAGGTAAGAATAATGAACTTGTGGTAAGGATAGCTGAATTCTCACAGTAGCTATAAGTAATATAGAAGGTAGTTGCTTCTAAACAATCTAGAAATGATTTATTTTGTAACATTTCTTACTCAAAGGCAGAAAAAGCTGGCATAGTATGTGGAGTCACTCAGAAAGCCACGAACACCTGGGTTCAAGTCCCATCGATGACACAAACTACCTTCATCACTCTGTTCTATAGGCAACTTTTTTTTTTTTTTGGCAAGGCAATGGGGTTAAGTGACTTGCCCGGGGTCACACAGCTAGTAAGTGTTATGTGTCTGAGGCCGTATTTGAACTCAGGTCCTCCTGAATCCAGGGCCAGTGCTCTATCCACTGCACCACCTAGCTGCCACTTGTAGGCCACTCTTAAAGACTAAATGTTGCACAGTAGAGGGAGTTTCCTCACCCCGGAATTCTCTACAGCAGTGGAATCACAGTCTTAACTTTTCCTACCTAATTTATTTTTGGGATTCAGCCAGAAAAAAAGACATATCCAGAGGTATGATGAATCATTACTGCACTAAAAACATTGACATGAACCTTTTCATATGAACCACATTTTGTTAAGTGCAATAAAATATGGATGGGCTTCTATAAACTTTTGAATGGGTACTAGGAGATATATATTTTTTTTTCAATTTTAGTGGTAATATAGGAATTTAATAGCAATTTCTTGAGTTAAGAAAAACTCAGTGACTCTATGCTTTTGACATTATGACTAAAAACATTTTAATGCCTACATTTATCGTGATGGTTAAACTATATCAGAAGCAGTCACGTGATGTTATTTTTAATAAATATTACCATAAGCTTCTATCATTTCCAGTTGTTCTAGTTAGGTTACCCACACTTTGAGTCAAATTTGTAAATTTTCAATGAAACAATGTTGGTTTATTAAGATGAATTTTGACATTAAGTTTTGTGGGTTGCCAGGGCCTTTTGTGGACGTGTGTGAGTTTGAAACAATCTAGATTTGTTATTTCATCACTGTGAAGAACTTCCAGTGAGCAAATTCCCTCCCTGATATAGGTCAGCAACTAAATTGTAACTGAGGGTCTTTGAGTGTTTAGTAGGGGGATGGGGCAGTTAAGTGATGTGCTTGGGTCACAGTGCATATATCAAAGGCAGGATGAAGGCCTTTTTAACTTTGAGGACAGCCCTTTATCTACAATGTTACGTCATCAGGACCAAATAAGAATATTTTTCAGATATTTCCAATGATTATTTAATTTTCTTAAGTAAGGCACTGAATTTAATCTATGAAGTATAATTCGTTCTACTGCCTTAATACTTGCCTGCTCCAAAGTATACACACTCAATATTTAGGGAAGAGGGAATAATTTTTTTTGTTTGTTTTTATTCTTGGAATAAATTATAACATTCAGAATTTTTAGATATTCAACAAGCAGTAGGAAGCATATGTGTATAAACACAAATTTTTAATAATTTTAATGTTTCTAAGAAACATGGACTATGGTTACTTGTTTTATATTCTGGAAATGACTTTTCATTGCAAATAAGTTCAAATTTAGTTTTTGAATATACCATTCACATTATTTTCAAAGCCTACAAGATTCTACAACTAAGTTCTTGACTATAAAATAAACACAGTAAAGAGGAATATTAAAATATTAGAAAACTGAAGACTACTCACAGCCAAGACCCTTTAATAAAATAGTTATTAACTGTGATTATTGATATATGTATATACACATACATACATACATATGTATGTGTATATGTATATATACACACATATATATATACACACATATATACATACACATATTTATCTTTCTCCTTATCCTGAATCACTAATTTATTAACTTTACATCTTCTTAACCTATAGTAGGAGACTATGGATGGAGGGTTCCAGATATCATGCACAATGTTCCTGAAAAACCTCAACAAAGAAAGAAGGCACATAGAATCATGGATCAGACAGAGGTGAGAAATCATTCTATACTAGTAACATAATAGATTTGCCCTTTTATCTTATAAACTTTAATAATTTAAAAAAAATACCATTTTTAACCTAACATAAAAGGTAATTTAAGTGCTAATGATTTTTTCATTGAAAAGGAAAAACATTCATTTACAGACTATAGGAACATAAATTACTCCTTTCCACACCACCAAAAAATACCAGGAATGCCTATATCATTAAAAATAGTAGAGCTCATTAAAACCTTAGATTGAAGAGCAAGACAATGAATAATTTAAAGGAAATAAAATATTCCAAAGTTGAGCATGTTATTTTATGACTTTTTACCAATTAAGTGGTGTGGATTTTATAGTAAAGGAAATTACATCCCTTTTCAATTTAATCAAAATGAAATGTCTTCAGGAAGGAGTTCTAAACCATTTTATGTCATGGACCCCTTCTCAGAATGTTTTGAAATGCATAAAATAAATTACATAGGATCATAAAATACTCCAATTACATTGAAAAAGTGTACCATGTATGCATATGTATGGACACACACACACACATAGATATAGATATAGATATAGATATAGATATATAGATATGTAGATATATAGATACATATCTATCTATGCATGTGTGTACACATCCACACATTTCACAAACCAAGTTAAGAACCCATTTTAGGGAAAGATTAAATCAAATAGCATACCCACCCACACATCACATATACAATGCTCCTGTAGACTTGTTTCTTTAAATTGGTGTATAATTAATAAGCCATAATAATTACTGGCTTCTATACAACCATAATTGTTAAAGATGAGAAAAACCACAATTACCAGAAGTAGGTGACTTGCAACGATCTTCTGGCACTACAGTCCCTTCATTAATATCACAGAGACCTGCTGAAAAATAAATATAATATAAATACTATATACACACATATGAGTTACATTGTTTTCTAAAATAATTTAGTTCTTAGCTTTTCCCTATTTTTACTTGAGAGACAAATTAGTAGATTGTGACTATGCTGATGTTAGTTTTTGCATTAATGGTTTATTTCTGAACTCTTCTGAATACATAAAGTACAATTTATCATTTTATCAGGCTTAAGAAATAGTTGTAGAAGCAGTATGACATAGGGGATAGAAAGCTGGCTTCTGAGTTAACACAAACTGTGTTCAAGTCCCACCACTGACTCATTAGGTGTTTGACTGTGGGTGAGTACTAATGTCTGAGAACCACCAACAACTCTCAAAGACAATAAATTCCAGAATAGTTGATAATTTAAATTGATAGACAACTTTCTCACGAGGGAGCTTTCTACATAGATGAAATCACAGGTAAGGACAGCTATATTAATGATAATTTTTTTTAAAGTCTGACTGTGATATATGAACAACCACACAATAAGATAGCATCCATTAATGTTTTTTTTGGGGGAGGGGGATTAGGAAGACTTGTCAGCACATATCTAGTCTACTAATCTGATGATTGTTTAACTTCATCTGAAAGACCATACCATTTAAAAACTGTTTTAAAGAGAGTATAACAACTATGCCATTATTAGCTTTCTCAGAATGAAAAATAAATTATTTGCAATGAATTTCCTCTTTTGAAGACTAAAGTATAATCTAAAAATAGTTTCTTTGAAATATTTCAGAAATGTACACTTTTTTTTTTTGGTGAGGCAATCAGGGTTAAGTGACTTGCCCTGGGTCACACGGCTAGTAAGTGTCAAGTGTTTGAGGCCAAATATGAACTCAGGTCCTCCTGCCACCAAGGCTGGAGCTTTATCCACTATGCCACCTAGCTGCCCCAAAAGTGTTTACCTTAAATGTTAGTGTAAAAGATTTCACTTGGGTCAAAATGATTAAATTTCAAAACGCTGTAATTGTGTTAGTCCATTACAAAATAGTAAAAAAATTTGAAAACACTTCTTCCTAGGTACTTAAATTGCACACATATTAATCAAAAAGTTTTTCATTTTATAACCAAAGTAGCTTTTAAAAAACACTTTTAAAGATAAAATTCATTCTGTGAACCTGCAGTTCTTCAAAGTAAGGTTAAAAGTGGGCTGCTGACGATTTGACAAGCCTTAGAAGTGATAACACTACATCTCTATTTTTCTGGGTGTTTAGTTTTAATAGATTTTTGTTGATATCTTTTGTTTCTATAACACTAAGATTGTTCTTTTTGGTTTCCAATGTATGTATTTTTCACTTAATTATAAAGATTTCCTATTTTATGCTTATTTTGGAATTATTTGTTGTATTTTTCTAAATTTTAAAGTGCACACTTAGTTCATTCATCTTCTTTTCCATTTTGTTAATGTGTGTTTTGGGGACTTAATTATTCCTCTGAAGACTCCTTTAGTTGCATATCAGAAATTTTGACAATAATACATGGTCAGTTTTTGTAGAAGTGCCACATGTTGGTAATATGTATATTTATTTAGCAGTCCCATTCAGAAGGCTCCATGAGTCTTTTAGTCCTAACTTATATAGTAATTTGTTCAATTCTATATTTTCTCTTTTGTTTGAATTTCGGAATTGATTGTATGACATGGGAGACACTAGCACAGAACTGCCCAGGATGGTGTGCCCTCATCAAAGAAGGTGTTATGCTCTATAAGCAAAGCAGAAATGAAGTAGCTCAAAAGAAAGATGTGCGAATTTAGAGAATTCACCCCAAATGTTCACATTTGTGCCCGACCTGTGGTACAGCATTCTGAGTTCATATTGCTCTGATCAGCCACAATAGGAACCACTGTAACTTGATTCTAACAGAGTGATATCATTTTGGTCTCTTTGAGAACAAAGTACAACAACCTAACCCAAAGGTTCCGCTCACCTCCATCTTTATTAGATCTGTCCAACTTGGAAAGATGTTAAAATCTTCTATTCTTATTGTTACTATTTCTATCTTCCTGTAAGTCAATGAATTTTTTCTTTCCAAATTTAGATGGTATGCCATTTAATATATAAGTTTTAAAATGGTATTAGTTTGTTTTCTGTAGTCCCTTTAGGCATAGTATAATTTGCTTATCTCTGCTTATTTTTGTGAATTCTTATCTTTGCTTTATCTAATAGCATGACTCTGATGTCTATTTTTTTATTCAGCTGATGAACAGTAAATTTTTCCAGACCCTCATTTTTTTCCTATATGTCTTAACTTTTTTGATGTTTCCTGTAAACATCGGTTTATTGGGTTTTATTATTCAATCTGTCATTCTCTTTTGTCTTAATGTATCATTTAATATGGGGCTGCTATTATTTAATCTATATTTAAAGCTATGAGTTACATTTATTATTGATGCCATTTGTGTCTCTAGGATTTATTTGGGGGGGAGATTTTCTTTTTGTTCACTCTTCCTCTATTACGTGATAACTTTTGGCCCTATGAGTAGTTCTGATAAATCTATTTTGATGTAACCCTATTTCCACAAGCTTTTTCCTCTCCCAACCCCACTGCCACACCACATCTGTCAAAACCTTCTTCCTAGTTTTGAGATTTTTCTTAACTTATTGATTTATTTTTCCTTTTTAAAAAAATTTAGTTATCTAATTATTCTTTTCCCTCCCTTCTCATTTAAGTGGCTACATCACTGCTCCTTTCATCCTATCAACTTCATTTGTTTGCTTTTTTTCTAAGAATGGTATCTTTACCCTGTTCTCTAAATTGATTCTCTTCCCTTTACATCTATTTTAAACTTTTCCTCTTGATTCACTATCTATATACTTATCTATTCATTCTTTACCATTTGTGTTCTCCATGAAATTAAAGCTTTTACGATGCTATTTACATTCCTTCTAACAAATTTCTGTTATTGTCTTCTTAACTCTTGTCTATTTTTTTCTCTTAGAAGTATCAATTATCATTGAGGCTACTCCAGATAGAGAGAGGTAACATCTCACCTCCCAACCCCTAGACCTTTTTCCTCCTCCTCAAGCAACTGTTGACCAATGATCTCTTAATTACCAGATATAATCACCTTTTTTTCATGCCTCATCCTTTCAGACATATAGTCTGCATCTTCTTGAATATTTTCTCTTCTCTGAGATTTCATGATACTCTTCTCTAGTCCTCCTCCTGTTTAACCTCATCTCCTCAACATCCTTTGCTAGTTCATCATCCAGATAATGTCCCCTAATTGTGAGTGTTCTCCAAGAATCTGACTTAGACCTCTTTCTTTTTTCTCTCTATGTAACACTTGCAATTCCCATGGGTTTAATTATTATCGCTATGACACTGACTTCCAGACCTATATATCTAGCCCTAGTCTCTCCTGAGTTTTAGTTTGACATCATCATTGCTTAATTGCTTTTCCCTAAACTCTTTCTTTTTCTAAACCACCTCATTTCTGTTCTTCCAGGCTCCCAGGTTTGCAACCTTCATGTTATACTCAACCTCTTACTCTCAGCCTACTTATCTAAGCAGTCACCAAACTTGACATTTCCATCTCCAAGAGATTTCTAATCTCTTACATCTGATTCCATTTCTCTAATCACATAGCTACTACCTTAAGTTCAGGTGCACTTTATCTCTCACTTAGATTATCATTAACATTTTTCTAAATGGTTTTACTGGCTCAAGTTTCTTCCATTTTAGTTCATCCCTTATAATGCTACCAATATAATTTTCCACAAGCACAACCCTAACTATAACTTCTCTTCAAATGCATATGGCTTCTAGTTGCCTATGAAATCAAACATAAGCTCCTCAGTTTAGCTTTTAAAGCCCTTTACAAACTTGACCCAATCTATTTTTTCAACATTATTCCACATTACTCCCTCCCTCACTGTACTATCCAGTCAAACTGGCCTTTTCTCTGTTCTTTGTACAGAACACCCCTACCTCTAGGGATGTGCATTGGTCATTTACCATGCCTAGAATGGACTACCTCCTCTTCCTAGAATCTTTCTCTTCCTTCAGGATACAAATGAAGCATCACATTCTGTTGGGAAGCCTGTCCTGAGCCCTTCAAATGCTAGTACCCTTTCTTTCAAACTACCCTATATTAATTTATATTAGGTCTCTTTACATTTATTCTGCATATATATATACATATATATATATATATGTATATATATATATATATACATATATATATATATATATATATATATATAATATATGTCCTTATCTTCCCCCATTAAAATGCAAATCCCTTCAAGGTATGGATTGTTTCATTTATCAAACTTGTATCTCTAGTACTTACTGTAACACTTTGCACAAAGTAGGTTTTTAATATATGGTGATCAATTAACTGATATGCAGGGTATAAACCAACCCTACAACAGATATTGAAAAATAAAATTTCCAAAAGCTTCAGAGAAAGGAAAGGTAAAGATTCCACAAAGAATTCAGAAAGGATAGTAGCCCCCTTAACAATAAAATTCTGATAACTTAGATATAAATATTAGCAATGAAAAAGAGAATTGTCAAAAGAGAGAATTATGACTGAATGTAGATTTATCATTCAGCTCTGATTTTCAAAGACAAATATTCAGGCTAGATAGGAAGATAACCGAGCATGAATACAAAAACGTAGAAGAAGGCTCCATAAGAATAAATTTCAAGAACAACCTGACTGGTATAAATTCTGAAGACTACCAAAAGGGATCTGTTTTTGTTTTTTCTAAAGATTTTGTAGGGTTAAGAGGGGAGACTTCCAGGAGCCAAGATGGTGGAGTAGGCAGAAAATCACCTGAATTCTCCCAGATTCACCTCCAACAACTTAAGACAAATTCTGGAAAGGCAGAACCAACAAAAAGATGGGGTGAAACAATTTTCCTGCCCAAGACAACTTGGAAGGTCATCTGGAAAGGTCTGCCTCACTCAGGTACAAGTGGGGTATACTCTAGGATAACCAGTGTCTTGGCAAGTCAGCAGCAGGCCCTGC